TCTACTGAGAGAAGGGTTTCTATCAAGCTCACAGTGCTTCTAGGCAAGTCTTTGAAAGTCTCCAGGAGACAGCTATCATATGGTTGTTGTGGTTTGAACAGAGTTGCATGAGGAAGCTTGGATTTTTTCCAATAATCATCCGGTGGAGACCCACAAAGCTTGAATATTTTGTGTAATTGTTCAACCTGCAATTGGAACAGAAGCATTCCCATAAATATAGTTAGAAGTGGGGAAAAAAAATGATATCAAGTAACTTTTATTCCTTAAGTATTCACGGTGGTTATTACTTCTGTTCTTCCTTGGAGGATAGGTTTCCCAAGGAGAAGTTCTGCAAACACACAACCAACACTCCAAAGATCAACAGCTGCTCCATAATCTGTTGACCCAAGCAAAAGCTCGGGAGGACGATACCATAGAGTAACAACACGACTTGTCAGTGGTTGCCTATTCCCAGTAGCACAAAAATTTGCCAATCCAAAATCTGCCACCTTTAAAATTCCTTCATTATTCACTAGAAGATTTGATCCTTTAATGTCCCGATGCATTACTCCTCGTGTGTGACAGTGGTTAAGCCCAGATAAGAGCTGCTTCAAGTAGCATTTAACCTACAAGGCCACAGAAATCTTATTTCTTTAAGTATACAAGTAAACAGCAAAGTCAGGAAATGTAGCATTAGAAGTCTTCAAGAAGATTAAAATGAAACTATGCCTAGTACTTAAATACAAATATATGTTCAAGCTACCCTGGGTTTAGGGAGACATACAATTATTTTATTTTATATTCAAAATACAAAATTACTTGGAAAGTAGTCTATTCAGGATATCTTCTTATTGCAGTGGCTCCGGACTCCATACTAAACTATTAAATGAGCAGTTAAAGTTATGGAAAATAAAAACAAACTCATCAATTTAATGTGTGTGGTCCCTTATAACCCACAAATCAATAACTGTGGCAAAATCCATTGCAGCAAAGTGAACGAACCTGTGACTCACTGAACTTGATGTCAGGGCAAGATAGAAGTCCAGTAACATCATGTTCCATATACTCGAACACAAGATATATGTTACATGATAATCGCGACGTAATTAGGCCCTCCAGTTTTATGATGTTTGGATGATCAAGTCTGCGGAGAATCAATATCTCTCTTGCCATAAACCGAACACTCTCAGGCTCAAAATTGTCAAATCGCACCTTCTTCAATGCAACTATCCTACCTGTTTCAAGTTCACGTGCCCGAAACACGCTGCTATATGTACCCTGTCCAATCTAGACAAGCAATTTGAAATCAAATTAGTTAGACAATCTACTTAAAGTAGCATAACCAGTGTCAAATTCTGGAATGTAATTATTGAGTTAATGCTTAGAAATAAAGGGTGAAAAGAATTTAGAAAGAGGAAATTGCATTAGTAGAGTTGATTGAGTTGTCATTAGCGGAGTGATTATAAGTCTGTTCCACCGCTAGTAGATCTGGGTAATAAGTCCAGGTGAAAATTTTAGCTTTGCAAATCTGGGTACCTTTTAACAAGGGAAAAAGATAATCTCGAGTCGTCTGGCTCGAACAAAAGGATCAGGCTAAATAAATGCCATAAGGCATGCTTGAACAGAGAAGTGAGGTTAAGTTCCGTTCTGTATCCTCGAATGAAGAAAAAAACAAAAGTTCCCTTTTGTAGCTAACTTATTTTGAACAGAGGATTTAATAAGGGGAAAAGCATGGAAAGAGCAAATAGTAAAGAAGAAGAAGAAGGAAGGAAATCTGGGAACAGACTTGTAAAGTTCTTTTCTCAAAATCAACACATATAAAATCCAATGGACCAGAACAAATAAGAAAGAAACGAAACATCTCTGTTCAGAATTCGCAAGAACCCGACACGATCATCTGAACCAATCAACTACGCAGCTCAGCGAAACGAACAAACGTATCAAAACAGAATCAAGTAGAGCGACAAATTTAGAAATGGGAAATGAAAAGATGCAGCAAAAAGTACGAGGAAGAACCTTCTCCAGTTTCTCAAAAGCGTCGGGTCTAAGTGGGACCCACCCGTGGATGGCCTCGCCGGCGACCGCACTGAGCCAGGCTGGCCATCCGGCGGCCACCTGCTCTCCCTCCACGTACTTCTGCAAGTTACCCAGTCGGAAACTCAGCGACTCACTATGGCAATTGGAACTCGCCCGACCCGACTCGCCGAACTCACTCCCTCCACTCAGTCCGCCGCCCAACTCACTCCCACTCTTCTTGCTACCTGCCCTCCTACTCCTCCCGCTCCTGCTCCTACCCTTCTTCTCCAGCTCCTCGAACCCGCTCCGCTGTGTCCGACTCGACTCATTACCGCAGGACCCGATTGCCGCCGCATTGTCTCGGAAAGCGCCCGAGTGATCAAACGCAGGCGTGACGGACACCGCCTGTTTAGAGCTGACGCAACCCATCACTGGCCTCTGCACATGTGATGAGTAAACAGAAGATATCGGGGAAGATGGAGCAGGGCAGGATCCAGAAGGCAGGCAGGCGGAGGAAAGGGGTAGGGAGTTAAAACCTCCAAGTTTGTATGGACATGAGTAGAAAGAAGCAAAGAGAAAAAAAGGTTTCAATGGGATTCCCCGAGCAAGAATGGAAATTTAGTTGCCAAAAAGGAGTTATATACGAAGAAAAAACGAAACCCAAAACAGAATGTTTTCCATCACTTTCTTTTTGGGTTAAAAAAAGAGAGGGTTTGTTTAAATGTGCGAGGATTGCGGAAGATGAAGATGGAATGGGGAAGTATGAATGCGCTTTTCTGCAGAAAACGAAACGAGGTGCGAAATCAACGGATGACACAAAAACTTTTCTGGTGCTCTCTCTGGTTTTTTAATTTTTTTATTCACTGTTAATGCAGGTTTTTATTCTTTATTTTTGTTTGCATTTGTTTTTTTAAAAATTATTTTAGAATAAATAATAAAAATATTAAATTAAAAGCTTTTGTAGTGTGCATGGGAAAAGCTGGCAATGAGGTGGACCCAAGTGGAAGGGAACAATAAGGTGACTCAAAATATTTACACACACACATACATATATATATATATATATATATATTTTTTTTAAAAAAAGAAAAATTGATGGAAATAATCAATTTTTTTATAGGTAAATATTATTAATTAAATTAATGGAAATAATTTGTTCACATTTTCTGAGGCAAACTTTGGGTGTTTAAATTTGAATATTATGTGTGACCCACAAACAAAAATGAATTGAGTGTATTCTTATAATTATTCTTTTCATATCTTAATTACTTAAATTTTAATTATAATTCATAATTCAATAAATTCTACTTTTAATTATTAATTAAGATTTGACTATAATTACATATTAAAATATTATTTTGTTTACATTTTTATTCTATTATATCCTACTTCCATTTAATCTAATTAAAAGTTAAATTACACTTTGTCTTTTTTTTTTTTTTTTTGAAAACAAAAATGATATATTTTTAATCAAAATATGGGTTGGGAGTTACAAAACCCGATTAATAAATGTATTTATAATGAAATTATTAACAAAATTCAAATAACCCATTAAATTTATTTAACTTATTTATTTAAATATTTATTTATCACGTGCGAGTAATGAATATAATGTTGGTGGTTATATTTATCATATAAAATTTAGTTGATTGGATTTATGTTTGGAAATGATTTCAAAGTGTCTTTGGATTTGGTGTGAGTGATGATTAAATGTTTGCTTTTGATTTTGAGTTGGGACCATTTGGTGTCTATGGGAAATAACTTTTTAGCTAACACTAAACTTTTATTTATTATAATTTTTTTTTTTAAAAAAAATTCTAATACTTTAGAAAGTTCATCAATCAAAATAAATATATTTTTTATTGAATGATGTAAAGTTATTGCTTAATTATGAATCCCCAAGACATCTAAAATATGAGTTTATAAATATTTTAGTTTTCATTTATATGTGCTTCAATGTATTAAACTACTTACTTAAAAACACAAACTTATATTTGATGGTAAATTTATATTTAACCTTCCACTTCTATTAACCTTAAGCAAAAATTTGAACTTATAATCTTTAATTTACATAAATAATTAAATTCAAATGAACTTTAATCCTCTCAAAATATATAATTAGTTAAAAAACTTAGTTTATGATTAAATTTAATTTTTTTTTTCTCTAAAATTTATATCAAAATAATTTTCACGACAATTGATTACTAAAAAATAATTAATAATAACACAGCCGAAAAAAAAATTAAAAAAAAAAATAGAAGTTTGTGTACCATACATGTGAGAAAAATGAATTTATGGGATGGTGATTCGTGTGGCACGTGTGGACATAGGAGTCAACCGACGTTTGACCAGAGAGATTGGTTGACGGTGTAGATTCGTCACAAAAATTAAAAAAAAAAAAGGGGGGTGATGTGAACCATCAACAAGTCAAGTCCCATAGTCAACGATGAAGGCAAATCATGTTTTGATTTACACACCATTTTCTAATAACAACATAAGCTATATTAAAAGCATAAAATTAAACCTATAGCTACTATATTTAATATTAAATTATATATTTCAAATAATAAAATTATTTTAATTTTTATTATTATTATAATTAATTCTCATATCTATATATTTGAGTCAATCTATTTTAATTTTTCGTTATCTTTATATTAAAAGATAATTTATATGTATTTAAAATTTTAATACAAATGTGTAAAAGTTAATTTGGTATTTTAAATAGTAACTACTTGCTAATTAAGTTTAATGACCATGCTATAATATTTGCAACCTTTAACCTTTAAGGAAAAGAATAATATCAATGTAATAAAAGGTTGGATGGATATATTAGGGTTTGTGTTCCTATCATATTCAAACATGTAATTGGACAGACCAACAAAAAATCACATTATCAATTAATTAAATACAAACACATATTCATTATATAACTTTTAAATTTTTAATATAAAATTTCCCATAAATTTATGTGATGTATTAATTTGATATAATAATTAGCCACCAACAGCTCTCTAATTCTCAATAATTGCTGCCTCCCATGATCATATCAACTTCTCCCTTACAGTACAACATATCATAAAATTAAGTATATTGTTATTATTTAGATAACATATTGCACTCATCCACGATATTTCACTAAAAATTTTATACTTATAGTTTATGATGAGATAAGAGTATGAGAAATTATTTGTTGAATAGTCACAGGCTAATATGCTATTACATTTTCACTAATTATTTATTATAATTTTAGATTGATCAATGCAATTTATGGATTAAATATTTTTATTATGATATTGATACAAATATGATATTAAATTTATGTATCTTGTTGTATAAGATGGTTTTTAATATATTTATTAGTATTAAGGGGGAAAAAAAATAAGTATATCTCTTTTTTTTTTTTTTGGGGGGGGGTTGGATG